CTCAGCCCTGTCGGGAGGCAGGGCAGGAGGAGGTGGCCAGCAGAATAAGCCAGAGGTTAAAGGTTAAATATTTGAAAGGATGAAGCATAATTGTTATTAGATGAAGATTATAATATTGTCTATATTGCAAAACTCAAAAGAATCCTAAAAGTGCAATAAGAAAAGTACGACTTTATCAAAGTAACTGGTTACAAATCAGTATTTTAAAAACTCAACTCCATTTCTGTATACCAAAAGGAAAAATTGAAAGGTAATATTTCTTTTGGTTTTTGGAGACAGCCTCTTACTCTATAGTTCACACTGACTTAGAATTCACTGTGTGACCTAAGTTAATCTCAAATTTGTGGCAATTCTCCTGCCTCAGACTCCCAAGTGCTGGGATTTTAAAACATAGTATTTGGGGCAGGGGAGGGTCTCCTCTAGCCAAGCTGGCCTCAAACTCTATGTTGCTGAGAATGAGTTTGAAATTCAGATCCTCCTGCCTCTACTTGTGTACATCTTGCCAAGTTTTATGTGGTGCTAGAGATTGAGCTTTTGCATACTAGGCAAGCAATCCACCAATTGAGCTACATCCTCAACCCTCAAAAAACATAATTTTTTAAAAATACCATTTGCAGTTGCAACTAAAAAGTTTTAAGTCCTAGGACTTTCATCAAGAAAGCTTCAAGAAAATTTATAAAACATTACTGAAGGGCTTTTTGTTTGTTTTTGTCTTTTTGAGACGCAGTCTCCCTGTAATCACAGCTGACCTGGAACTCACTATGTGGCTGCCTTCAATCTCACAAACATCTGCCTGCCTCTGCCTCCTGAGTGCTGGGATTAAAGGCATACCTGACCATGCCTGGCTGAAAGGCATTTTGAACAACAAAATAAACAAAGAATTATGTCATGCTTTTGGATAGGAAAAATTATTTATTTTTTTTGGAAGCAGGGTCTCATCCAAGTGTGGCGGCATACAAGTGTTATCCCATCACTCATGAGGCTGAGGCAGAAGACCAGCCTGATATACATATCAAGCTCCAGGCCAGCCAAGGGCTACAGAGCAATACTTTATCTCAAAAAATAAAAAATTAAAAGAAAGTTTTTTAAAAACAAAGTGGAAGCTGGGTGTAGTGACGCACGCCTTTAGTCCCAGCACTCAGGAAACAGAGGCCCACGGGTCTCTGTGAGTTCAAGGCCAGCCTGGTCTACATAGTGAGTTCTAGGACAACTGTTTAGGGAGACCCTGTCTCAAAAAAGACCAAAAAAATCCTTTAAAAATGGAGTGGAGAGTAAGAAAGAAAGGGATGAGAAAAATGAACAGGGTTACATAGCCCAGGAGGCTAGCCCTGAGCTCATCCTCCTCCTAGCTTAGCCTCCTGAGTGCTGGGGTTATAGGTATCTTCTACCACCTATATTTTAATATCTTAAAGTTGTTGATTCTCCTCCAAACTCATCCACAAATTCAACACCTCTAGAGTTTGTTTTGTTTGTTTCTATGGAACTCAAAAGTAACTCTAAAGTTCAGATGGAAAAAAAAGGAAGCGGTTTGACTGAGGTGAAGAGTGAGACCTGTTTGATCAGACATCACGTTTTATTTTAAAACCATAGTAATTAAAGCAGTATAGACTTAGCACAAGCTTCTTTTAAGCCAATGGAACATGGTAGAAAGCCTGGAAACAGACATAGAGTGGAGACTTGATTTATGCAAAACAGCTTTGCAGATCAGGAGGAAAGTATGAACTATGGTGCTAGACTAATTGGGTATCCATGTGGAAAAAGACAAAATTGGATTCCTCCCTTGTCAAAAATCAATTCCAGGTGGATTAAAGAACTTAAATGCGAAGGGCAAAACTATAAAACTTTTGGAAGACAACATAGACATATATATATAAATATATATATATATTTATAATATATATATAATGACCTTAAGATTAGAAAATATCCTATTCAACATTTTTCAAAAGTGTGAAGCATAGGGGAATAGATTCTGAATCTGACTCCATTAAAAATAAGAACTTTGGTTTATCAAAAGGTACCAAAGAATTAAAAAAATGCAAGCTACAAGGAATTTATACCAAAAAATAGAAGAACTGAACAACTTAAGATAATGATAGTATATAACCCAAGGGGCTTGGGGAAACAAAGGATATGAACAGATATTTCATATAATAGGAATAGCCCATAAGCATGGGGGAAAAGGAAAAAAGAATAAAACCTCAAGTTCAGTGGTATTCAGAGAAATGAATGTAAAACCACAGTGAGATAGCATTTCACACCACCATATAAGCAGATATTAGAAAGCTGGGCATTACCACATGCTGGCAGGACGATAAAATAACAGGAATTGTCATTTGTTGCTAGTGGAAGTGTAAATTGTTACAACCGCACTGGGAAACAATTTGTTATTACCTAATAAAACTGAACAGGCTCATACCCTATGGCCCATCAATTCCACTCCTATGGCATACGCCGGAGAAACTCTTGTACGTGGGCACAGGGGACATGTACAAGAATGTTCATAGCAACACTGTTCATAACAGCCCCAAACTAAAAACTGCCCAAATGACACATAAACGAGTGGTTGCATGGTAATGTATCCATGCCATGAAATAGATATGAGACAGCAGCCACAAACACAGAAAAGCTCAGCATTTCATGAAATCTGCAAGTCACAGAATACACACACTGTGCGTTCATTCATACAACATTCACAAGCAGGCAAAACTAAGCAGCGTGTGTAAGGGTATGTGCCAGGGTAGAGAAAACCACACAGAAAAGCACTTCAATGACCAACAGATTTTAGCATTGTGGTTATTGCCAGAGGGAGGGAGGGGAGGCAATTACTGAGGGAGAAGCAGAGAGAGCATCTAAGTACGCTGTTCAGTTTCTTTCTAAGTTGGGTGGTATGTACGTATGTGTCAGTTTTACTATTAACTTTAGTGGTGCATAAAATTATAGACACTTACTGTCGACCTAAAAGGCAAGAAGTAGGAAATAAATGGCAAAAATAGTATAGCCAGGTCAAAGAGCTAAGAAGAGACTACCATGTCTGAAATGAAGGGTATAGAGTAGAGGAAGGTGAGGCTGGAGGAAAGCAGGAAAATATTCTAAGCTTCAGGATGGAGAGAAAGCTTGGCCCATCAAGTGCTTGCTGTGTAACAAAAGGACTTGTTCAGTCACCAGAACCCACATAAAAAAGCCAGAGTGGTGACATGAGCTTTTAATCTCAGTGATGAGGAGGCAGAGACTGGCAGATCCCTGAGGCTCACTGGTTAGCCATCCTAACCTAATCAGAAAGCCCAGGGCCCAGTGAGAGACCCTGTCTCAAAAGGAAAAAGTAAGGACTGGAAAGATGGCTCATCAGGTAAAGGTGTCTGCTGCCAAGTCTGATGACCCAAGTTCAATCCCTGGAACCCAAATGGTGCAAAGTGAGAATCAACTCCCACAAGTAGCTCTCTTACTTCCATACATATGCTATGGTGCACACTCATATACTCACATTAAAAGAAATAAAAGTAAAATAAAAGATAAAAAATCTTAAAGGCAGATTAACAATACCCAAGGTTGTCCTCTGGCCTACACACACACACACACACACACACACACACACACACACACACAGTGTGCAAACACACAGAAAGAATACGAACTGAATTTAGTAGTGTCGTTATGTTATGTAATGCTACCCCTGTGGACCCAGTCATGTGCTTTGGTTTCCTGGGTTTCTGTGGTAGACCTAAGGGGCCCGCTGACAGCTCCTAAATGGGTTGTCTTTCACAGACAGAGAGCAGGGAGGGTTTGCTTGCTGTGCTGGCTCTGAGTCAAACTTGGATGAGAAGAGCTGAGAGTGGCCATGCACCTAGAACTCTGAAACTGTCTTCAGCTCTGCTGGGAAAAGGAAAGGAAAACAAATCAAAACACTTGAATATTCTACCTGCTGCACTTAGATCATCCTGCAGCACAAGGGACAGTGGTCATCAACTTTATGCCACTCTCCACAGAATACTGAACTTGGCTGGATGCTTTTTCTGGGAGGCACACATTGGCTCATGTCATTACCTCTAGCCACAATGAGAAGAGAGAGCCCTGAGCTTAGGTCCTTGCTTCTGATGTCAACTTGACCACCCATTTGCTGGCTATCTCCAGGAAATCATGAAATCTTTCTCTATCTCAGTTTTCCAATCTATAAAAACAGACACAATAGCAGAGAGACCTTCGTATAAATTATCATGTGAGTCACAGTGTGAGATAGTGAAACAACCTTTGGAAGTCAAGGCAAGCCTCTTATGGCCACCTCTTGGGCACCTTGAATTTTCCTCACCCCAGCATGCACATTGCTCATGTAATGGAGACTTAACTATCTTCCTGGTATATGCACTGGAAATAATGTCCCATGTATCCTGTGTACCAGGAAACTACATTCATGTTCTATAAGTTATTGGATAAGCTGCCAGGATGCATATATGTGCACTTGCATGTTTGTATGTGTAGTGTGTTAATACTAGCAATAGCCAATAAGAAAGTTAGCTCATATCTTAGACTATTTGATTTTAAGTTTTGTTTGTGCTAGTTGACAACTATTCTCTTCTCACAATATCACAGTTTCTCGTCCAAAAATGAGGATTAATAAATTACCTTTAATAAGGATTAAATTTACCAATACTTAGCATTTCAAATTGCCTGGCAAGTGGTAAGTTCTGAAGCAGTGTTAGCTGTCCTATCATTTTCCGGGATCATGTTTTCACAGAGGGAGAGAGATGGGCAGGGTGGGGCAAATGAGAAATTTACAGCCCCCACCCCACTTTGCCATACTCCACCACATCTCCTTTGTGGAACGCAGCCCTGGCACAATACCCAGGCAGGCCATAAGAGAGTCTACTGCACCTCCCTCTACCCTAACTCATAAACCAGGGAAATTTCTGGGTGGGTGGTCCCAGGCACGGCTTTTGGTTTTCAGCTGTGTTGGGCTTGTGGTACTCACTGGTTCTGCATGGCTGTCTTTTCTATCTGTATAGGTCAGCACATCTCACCCTGCACCTGCCTCCCCAGGACATTCCATGGCCATGGTCAGTCTGCCCAGCTCCCAGCAACACCTCTCAGCTAACATGTGAGTAAAAAGCTCAGCCCTCCACCACAACTTCTGGAACAGAGGGCTCCTCTTTGCTGCCCTTTGCCATCCAGCTTCTCCATGCCAAAATAACCCCTCCGAAGAGCTAGCATCTCCCCTTCCTTTTCTACATCAATGGTGATGAACACAAATGAGAAAACATTCTTACTTATTTTGAAACAGAAAACAAGATTATAAAAACTACAACATTGCTAGGAGATTGGGTATTGAGCAGTCGTGTTGTCTCTTTTCAGGTTCAAAATATTGAGTGATAGATATTGACAAAATAATCAGCAAAAAAATATATATATATAAATAAATACATTCAACATCTTGGGTAGGAAAACACTTGCAAATAAGAACCACTCCTAAACTCTGATAAAGCAGTCCTGTGTCCCACAGCTCTCAGGATTTTAAAGGACTATAAGGTGTGTCCAACCTGCAGCTAGTAGGCCACACAGGACCCAAGACAGGCACAAATACGGCACAACACAAAATCATAAACCTGCTTAAAACATTCTGAGATTTTTGTATGTTTGATTTGATATTTTATAACTCAGTTATACAGTTTACGATCATAAATTTGATAGATGACAACATCATGTCAAGAGTCAAAAGGCTGGACATGCCTAGCTAAAACGCCATACTCTAGTGATCCTTGAACTCAGCAAGGAAATTAAGTTCTTTCTTCAATGCCTTCCAGAAAGCATTGTTTTCCCTTCCTCAGCCTCCTATTCTCTCCTGTCCTGACTTCCTGGCTCTTCATGCCTGGACTTCATAATACAATGTCTTTCTTCTAATTCAAGCATGTTTTTGCTATGATACACGATTCCCACCTCTACCTACCATGTGGTCAGTATTCCACTGTATGAAAAACAGTAATAATAATCACCTCTGCCTCCTACTTCCCAGTGTATACACCTCAGTTGACATTTACTTATTGCCTTGGGCCATTCTTAGGAGTCAAAGTTCCAACTCATAGTCAGAGAGGCTTCTGTGCCCACTTTCATCTCCCTGAGCTTTGCTGGCAGTGACTATTTTTTATTGTAATATTAAGCTTTAAATTGTACTTACTGTAGATAAAGTCCATCTGAAACGTTCTAACATAACTTATATTTCATTGGCTCTAGGCATATACAAAACAAGGCAGGCATTTCCCAGGTCATGTCTTGGGTTGTCCAAAAGTGACCATCATTTTGGAGACCACACTAGACGGCGATGACAAAGCCTGCAAAGTGGACAATCGCCCACTCTGCAGCATTCTGTTCTCCATATCCTTCCTCCACTGGAGGCCACTGTCACAGCGCCCATGTTGGCCTGTTAGTGATTACCAGCTGTGCAGCGTCCTGTAGAAAAGGGGGTTGGGGGGTGAAGGCAGGGCTCTGCTGCCTCCACTGGTATTTCAGCCAGGCTGTTCCACTTCTGTCTACCTTCCATGTTTAGGTTTCCATTTTTAAAGGTTTTTATTGCTAACAGTTAGCTGGTGAGCTCTGGTCTCCCTGTCCCCGCGCACGCTCTGTGCCTTCTTCAGGCATGCCCAGCTTCCCTTACCAGTTTCCTGTGTCTCCAGGTTTGTAGCTCTGCACTCCTACTCAGCCCATGGACCCGATGAGCTAGACTTGCAGAAGGGAGAAGGCATCAGGGTACTCGGGAAGTACCAGGACGGCTGGCTGAGGGGCCTTTCCTTGGTCACTGGACGAGTCGGCATCTTCCCAAGCAACTATGTCATCCCAGTTTTCAGGTGCGTTTCCAGGGCCTTTCTGTGGGTTGAGCTAGTGATGGGACCCAGTGCTCTTTCAGAGCATGAGCCAAGAAATAGTATTCCTTAGTATTCCCCCGAAGTTTAAAAATAAAACACACACACACACACACACAAAGTAAAAATATTTCATAGCTTTTTTTTTTCTTTTTGAGTGAACTACTATGTAGCCAGGCTGGCCTCAAAGTCACAGTCCTCCTGCCTCAGCCTACCAAATTCTAGAACTACAGATGTGAGTCACAATGCCCAGCTTTACCTTCTTTAACTCCCGGCTATGCCCCAGAGCTTTGTATATCTTTTTCTGCAGATCAGATAGTGATGTGCAGAGCTAAGTATCTTGCTTAGGAAGTCATTTTCAGGCTTTCTGTTGCCAGAGTCCCAGATTTCCACATCACATCTGATACCCCAACAATGCCTAGTTCTGAGTGAACTAATTGGAAAATATGACCAGATGACTCCATGGGATACCTTAGGAAAGTTCTCAGGGTGCTCAACCATGAGGCAGAGTTTCCATGAACTCAGCACTCAGACCACTACTTGGCTAGTCATGTCTGAGATCAAAGACCAGCTACCCTGAGGAATCTCCCCTTCCAGCTTTCCCGAGCCACTTTTACCCTGACGTACCTATCGACTTCACTGCCCACAGTTTGTTCTGCAACCTTGCAGTGCCCACAAATTCACACAGACCCCAAACCTACTTGGGACTCTGCCCATATTCACCCCCACCTGCCCATCCATGAAGTAGTGAGGTCCTTATCACACATCAAACCCTATCTGTATGACATACCAGAAGGTCACAGACTAGAGAAAGTGACAGTACTCTGGGGATCAGACCTGGAGTCATATAGCTACTTTGGCAAACCTTATTTAGGTGTGGGGCACTGTGTCCGGAGGGGGGCAACAATAATGGTAAGAAAGAACAAAGTACACATGAGAGAAGCTAATAGGAAGGCTGGCTTAACCTGCAGAAAATAAGGAACAGGGACTCGTAGGAGATTGTGTATGCCAACAGCTAGACTGGTGCCATGAGGAGCAGCAGAGGAAGGCGGTTTACAGAGAAGGTAGGTCCTCAAGATTTGGGGACAGAAGGTAAGAAAAGAAATCACAAGAAATCAGTTATTCCTTTGCATGTAAGGTTCTTAAACTTGTTGAAAAACAGCAAACTAAGAGTATAATACTGATGCTTTCATCTCTTCAGAGCATATTGATTGAATGTTAACTATGTGTCAGACACCTTTCCTGTTTCCGGGGAAATATTAGTAGACAAAATACACAAATATATATATATATATA